TCTTGTTCAACTTTTTCTTCTCATGTGTATAACTTTTGCCGAGACTAAAAAATGACAGTGAAAGATCCGTCTATACCTTTTTTCAAAATAAGAAAGTTTCACGTCACGATTTATACAAGGTGACGTCACTTGTATTTAAAATTTCCAGATCATCAACCTTAGAATTGAAATTTCCCTAACAAAGCTAAAAATACGACATATTTACGGAGCTGCACGATCTTTCATAGGCGCGCCAACATGGTATTATAACAAGAAAAATGTAATCGTGATTATATTCAGAATTTTAGAATTATATTGAATACATATACAAAAACATTTTTTATTATTAATAATTTAAATTTTATGCAACAATTTTTTAAGTTTAATTATTCAAAAAATAATCATGTTAATTAAATAGATACACAATGTTACGCCATTGATACGCGAATCTTCACGTTTCAATAATATGATGGTGGGGTGGCAAACATGGATCAGTCACAGTACAGTGTTGTCAATACTTTATAACCTTATACTCCTTACTAGGGTGGGCCGACAAAATTTTTTCTGGAAAATAACAACGCCTGTGGTCAAAAAAGTTGAGTTATACTAAAACACAAATTTTAAGTCCAAAATGAGTAGCTAAAAATATTTTTTTCCACTGCCACAAAGACTCTATATTTTTTTAATATAAAAGGTCATTGTGGCAGTGGAAAAAATAAAAAATAATAATTATTTCAAACGCAGATCTTTATATTTTTTTATTATATAATTTTTGAAACATCAGGGTTATTTATTTTGTAACTTAAAAAAATTTAAATAAAATCTGTATTGTTCTGGCGGTTTGATGCATACTTTATAACGTATAGTAAACTTTATTTGCGTATTTTTCCACTAACTAATAAGTAGAGAAAAATTTATTTTAGGGACCTACTTCAAAGAGTGTGCCGAAATTCCCCAATAACAATAAAGTAGACGTTAGTATAAACAAAGTTAATATTACCGATTATAATATATTATCATTCTTAAAATAACGTGACATTGGAGGTCAACGCTTCGCTTATGCTGCAGATTTTGCAGTGGTGTAAGTGTAAACCAATATTTCAATCAATTAAACCGCCTAGCGACACTTAAATTATTTTTAGTGTTTTACCGACAGTTGAGTAAAATACCTGTACGATATTTGTCAAGCAGTGAAAAGTGGTGCTTGTTCAGAAAAACTTTCTAAGAGACAGCCTGGAAAAATGGTTCATTCTCGGTGGCTTACCACTGCTTCCCGTATCCTTCGGTTATACGTAGCAACCAGAAACCCATCGGAAAATTTACAAATACTAAGCCATTTTGTAATGAAAGTGTATGCGCCCATGTGATTTTGTATTAAGACTCACCCGTCATGCATTTATGGTGCAAGGCATCTATTCAAGACAATAAGACTCTGCGACTATTTACTACCAGAATTGAAAGACATAGTCTATAAATGTATTCAAAGAAATGGATACTTTGGGAGCCCAGAAAATATTATTTTGGCTATGTTGTTTGATAAACGTAAACACATAAGACAATTGGGGTTCCAAAGAATTTTGAAGAGCAGACAGTTAAATTACAATGATCAGCGACATTTCGTAGTACCAAAATTATTTTTTGGCAGTAAGGATTACTTTGAGATTATCGAATGCCAGAAAGTTTTATGGACAGAGCCTCCTGTAACTATGAAGCTATCAAAAGACCAACTAAGGGAAGTTGTTGAAAATCCTGAAACCAGTCTTTTGGCATACGTAAAATCATACCCTTGTCACACACAAGCGGCTGAGAGGGCCGTCAAAATAGTAACAGAAGGTTCAGCTTCTGTCTGTGGAAGTGAAAAAGGAGACGGTTATATAAGGAACAGGCTGAAATCAAGGGAAAATATGCCGAAATATGAATTAAAGAAAGACTTTTTTTTTAAATAATGTGATTGTTACTTTTGAAAGACATTCTGTTTTGTATCGTTATATATTTATAGATAAACTATTTTTGTATTTGTATTGTTGTATTATGTGTTCAAAACAAATTTAGCTTTAATATAAATTATTTTTTTGTATGCAAAAAATAAATCTACCATACAATACATTTTTTTTTTGAAAAATTATTAATTTTATACAGCGCTGTGGCAGTAGAAAAAAAATTAGTTGTCAAAAAAAATAATATGATCAAATTTATCGTATAAAACACTTTTTTTGACTCAGGCAACCATAATAAATTAAAAAAAAAACGAATTTGACATAATATTAAATGATTGAATTTTTTCGTAAAAATCTCGTTCTTATATAGCTCTGTGGCAGTGGAAAAAAATTAAATTAATTATAAAAAAAAACACTGTGAAATAAGTTATCTTATCATACATCTTTTCTGGGGTCAGGCAACTCAATTAAAAAAATAAAATAAAAACACATTACTCAACGGCCCACCCTACTCCTTACCCTTATACTAAGTCTGTTTACTTATATGTTTGTTTTAATCAATTTGATTCGCAATAAATATATACAGTGCAGGTAAAAGTTTATGATCGATATGTACCTTACGTGAGATGGAGTGAGAAACATCTGGTTCAAAAGAGGGAGGTATATTAGGTCCACCCTTTATATCGCCAAAAATGCATTAGCGGAAATAATAAAAGAGAGGGAGATCGGAAATAATCGTCTGGCGTTCCCTAATGGGCGTGTATAAAGAATGTGGAGGGCAGACCAAGGGGAAATATGATTGTTTTCTTTGTCTATTCGCTGAAAATATCACAGATCACCTACCTCCTAGATGTTTCACGACAATATTTTAGTTGGATATGAAATTCAGCGCTCCAAGAGATTTGTATCGGAACTAATTCAAGCGGGAATTTCAAAATTTAATTTTGGTGGGAAAATTTAAATAAAGCTTAAAATATTTAAATATAATTTGGTATATTTGAAAAAAAAATGCATTTGACATTTTTAAATTCAAATATACACAATACCATTTAGGAAAAAATAAAACAAAATGTAATTTATTTATTTATTTAATACTTGTAAAACAACTTTGTATATAAATTTAGAATAGAATAAAAATATGGTTTATTACCACTGAAAATTGTACAATTTTATGGACAAAACTTACAAAAAGTCAGATAAATAGCAATTTAAAAATTTACTCAAATTACATAAATCGTCAGTATCACAAAATAAAAGATAATAAAATACACAATGTATTGCAAAATTTAAATAAATTGCAAATTGCATAATAAATCTTTACAAACTAATATGTTGAAGTTTCTGCATGTGATACTCAAATATATATTTATACAAATACTTCAGTTACTTGTACATAAAGCTATTCGTTGAGAAAGTCTTCTAGTGTATAATATGGTCTTTCAGATAGATAGGTTTTTGTTCGTTTATGGAACTTAAGGAAAGAAGTTGCAGATTTAAGTTGCAAAGAGTTGCAAATATAATATAGATTTCTCCACTAACTCCCTCTACGGGATCAGTAAATACACATTAAAGGTTGAATTTCTGGTGGAGTAGTCATGATTAGGTCTTGCTGAAAAAACATGTAGGCGTTTACAAATTAAGCAAACAGTTTCTAAAATATATCAAGAAGGAAGACTTAAAATCTCGTGATTTTTGAAGTATCTTCTGCAATATGTTATTCTAGCGAGACCAAAAAGATACTATATTGCTCTTTTTTGTTTGTAATTGAAAACTGTCAGATTGGGCAGCTGTTCTAGGACCCCAAAAAAGAAGACCATATCGAAGATGAGACTAAAACAAAGAAAAATATGTTATTTTGGAAGATGCTAAATTGATTTTTTTCAAAACAGATCTTATTGCACAACAGGCTCAGCTAGTTTCTACTTAACAAATCAATATAAAGGGATCATTTAAGGTTGCAGACTATAAAAATACCAAGAAATTTTACCGAATCAATGATACTTTCTGTTACATTTGCTTTCGCACTCAACATTGAAATACTTCTGGGATGAACATTAGAAGAATCTAAAATCGATCATCAATCAGTTATTTGTTCTCTAATATCAAATATTTATTGGACTCACCATAGACATGTATGAACTCCATGAAGAAACAAACTTATCTTCAAAGTGTCTGTGGTAGATTAGTTTTGTTTTAAAAACTGTACTGGCATTCATCACATCTAAATTAGGATTATTTATAACACTAAGCCACTTCCTCAATCGTATAATGTCTTTATCAGGATTTGAAAAGGCATGTCTAATTGATGACGAATTGGTACATTGTAGGATACAACATTTATTGTGAAAAACCATATTTAACTAATTATTATTAATCTGCAAAATACTGTTTGAACACCGCCAGGAACATTTAAAACACAGATCACTGAGTTAGGTGTTTTGTAATTTACAAACTAACAAAAACAAAATATAGACGCTAATTAATTACTGACAATTATAATTTTTAGCTGTGTTCTAAACCTAAACTGCAGAGTAAAATTAGAGATAGAGTAAAGCGACATCTGAAGATTAGATTACATGACATTAAGTTTAGTTTGACCTTGAGCTACCTACGTGAAACGTCTAGTTATTAGTGGTCTGTGGAAAATATGATTTTATATCTGTGTTAGATATCCCGTTAAATTCTACCATACCGACTAAACTTATACCGTATAACTTTAATAAACTGAATGTGTAAATCAAAACGTCAAACTTACATTATTTAAAAATGTATTTTTAATTACAATCAATTGTGGCCTAATTCCATATAAACATAATATTTAAAGTAGACATGCTTCAAGAAAACAGTTTCAGAACCTTGTCAGCTATGAGGGTTTATCAACAGTTTTCGAAGAAACAAGTATTCCTCTTATTGGTTGCTAATTTGCAGTGTTTTTCAACTCCAGTATGAATTATTTGATTGTTTATTGTTAAATTATTTGTCTCTTTGATATTATTCTCTTACTTATCTTAAGTTTGTCAATGTTACAAATAAAGGAAAGTTTTTTTCTGTACGTTATTTTAAATGTTATTCTTTATCTTTCAGGAGGAAAATAAAACAAAGGTGAAAAGTAAAAAAAGTCATACTCGTAAAGGATTTTGCATTTACTGTCAAACTGAAGTAAATCATTTTGTTAAACACCTAGAGAGGCTACACTTTAACGAACCTGAAATTGAACTTTTATTTTCGGAACCGCCAGGCACCACTAAAAGAAAACAGATGATTATATCTCTTCGGAAACGAGCAAACTGTGCAGCTGGTTTAGGTGGAGCGGGACACATTGATCGAAATTTATTAACGTATGTATTTCCCAGCATGAAACTTGATCAAAAAACGCTCATAGCCCAAAATGATGAATTAATTTGTGCGTTTGGATCAAAATACTTAAAGAGTCTGGGTACTAAAAACCACAACGTAATTTCTACAAGAATGAGGCTACTAGCTGCGTTCCTTATACAAGTTCAGCGAACGGAAAGTTCTATTTCAGATATATTAACTGTTTTGCAGCCTAAGTATTGGGAATTAATTGCGAAGGTAATATGTATACTTGCGAAATATGACTCTATACTTGGTAGGTATAATTCACCGAGTGTAGTGGTCAACTGTACAAAATATATAAAAGATTGTTGTAAGTTAGCACTAGAACAAAGCAAGGCTCCAGTAGGAGTTGATCTTATGACATACCATAAAAACGTTCAGGAGCTTTGGAGCTATTTCGATGATAATCACAAAACTCAGCAATGCTTACCGGAAGTAACAAAAGTACCGTTGAGTTCCGAAGAAAACCAAGATTTTGATGAAACTTGCAATGAAAATCAAACAGATGTAAATTTACTATTTGCAAAAGGCAAGAGACGACGAATTTCCTGGAGCTTCGAGCAAAAGAAAATTGTTTTAGATTTTTTTAAAGATCACATTCGACAAAAGCAGTCTCCAAAGAGGGGGGAATGTGAAGTATTGAAAGAGAAATATTCTCCACTTTTCGAAAATAAATCTTGGGAGAAAATCAAAGCCTACGTGTTTAATGAATATAGGGTGAACTAATACATTTTTTTATTTAAAAAAATTGAATGACTACTCCAGTCGTCTGAGACGAAAATGCCACACATACGAACTTCTAAAAATCATGCGAAAAAGCTAAATTTTCCTGATAATGTCAATTTTGAGACTCCAAAAGGAAGCAAAAACGTTTACCACTCCAACCCGCCTCGTAAAACGAGGGAAAACGGGAAAAATCGATTTATCAAGAATCTGCACGCAGTGGAAAAAAATGTTTCAAATAAAAAATGTAGCTGGGGTCATTTTGTACAAAAATGTTTATTGGCACTTTTTCTGTGCAATCAACCGTTCTCTCAGAAACAACGCTTGAAGCGACCGGCGATTTCGAATGTCAAATACGCGCGCGAAATCAAATTTGTATTAACTCGACGGTAAAAATTTGATATCTTTTGATCAGAGTGTCCTATCGACAAAAATCCAAATGCGTTTTAAGGGCGAAGAGTGCACGTGCAGTTTTTACATTTTTCCGCAAAGTAAGTCAGTTTCTATAAAGCTGTAGTAAATAAACGTTGCACGATTTTTGCCATTTTTTACGATTTTCATGAGATTAATAAAATTTATCACATTCATTAATCGATCGCTGTGGAATTTCCATTTCTCAATCCCAGTCTTCAAAATTTATAACATAAAATTTTGGTTTTGAGTTTTGGCAACAAATGTGAGACATTTGAAATACTCCTAAAAAGGCTAAACTCTTATATTAACAACGATCTAAAACGGTTTAAAACAGCTTTTTTCGATTAGACAAGTACATTTTTCGAAACTTCTTCTTCAAGTGCCGTCTCCATCAATGGAGGTTAGCGGTTATGGTGGCAAACGTTTGTCTATCTTCAGCTGCTCTTAAGAGTTCCTCAAATCCAAGTCCTGTCCAGTTTCTGATATTACGTAACCAGGACAATTTTTTTCTTCCAATTCCTCGCTTTCCTTCTATTTTGCCTTTTATTATCAACTGAGGGATGTAGTATTTCTCGTTGCGCAACAAATGCCCTAAATAACTGGTTTTTCTTCTTTTGACTGTTCTCAATAGTTCTTTTTCTAAATTGAGTCTAGCTAGTACTTCTTCATTTGTTTTTCGTGCTGTCCAAGGAATTTTTAAAATTCTACGGTACACCCACATTTCAAATGCCTCGATTCTATTCAGGCTCTTTATTTTTAAAGTCCACGTTTCGACTCCGTAGAGAAGAACAGACCAGATAAAACATTTTACAAGTTTTAATCTCAATTTAATATTTATATGTGTATCGCAGAATAGAACGCGCATGTTAAAGAAACTATCCCTAGCTTGAGCAATTCTCGCTTTAATTTCTTGTTCTGGGTCCAGCTTGCAATTAATCCAACAGCCAAGGTATTTGTATTGGTTTACCTGTTCTAAAATATTCCCATTTATTTTTATAGGTAAGGGGATATTCTGTTTTCTTTGGATCACCATTACTTTTGTTTTTTTTTTTCGTTGATCTTCATTCCAAACTCTCGACAAGCATCCTTAAGGTGGTCTATAACCCCTGTAAGTTTGTGTCTGTATCAGCCAGTAGGACAGTGTCATCTGCATATCTTATGCTAGATATTGGTTCTCCATTAATTTTTATTCCTGTGGAAAGGTTTTCCAAGGCTTGCTTGAATAGTAGTTCCGAGTAAAGATTGAACAGCATAGGGGATAGTATGCATCCTTGCCTTACTCCTTTATTTATACTAATATTTCTAGATGTATGATCGTCGATCCTAATCTTGGCACTCTGCCTCCAATATAAGTTCTTAATTAATCGGAGATCTTTACTATCCAAGTTGATGCTCTGCAAGGAATTTAACATTTTATTATGGTTTACGCGATCTAATGCCTTTTCAAAGTCTACAAAACATAGAAAGACATCCTTTTGTTTTCGAAACTACATAACTTCAACTATAAATTTCTCCCAATACTCATGGAAGCATTTCCCGTGACGTGCGATCGTTTGTAAGGTGATTGCGTTTTTTAGGCATATTTCAAATGCGTCATATTTGTTGCCAAAACTCAAAATCGAAATTTCATGCTATGGGTTTTGAAGATTAGGTTCCAACGATGGATAGTCCACTGCGACCGGTCACTGGAAATGATAAATTGTATTGATCTCAAGAGAATCGTAAAAAATTGCGCAACGTTTATCTGTTTCACAGATTTATAGAAACTGACTTAATTGCGTCAAAATACAAAAATTGTATACAAAAGCTGCATTCTTCACCTTTAAAACGCATTTTGAGTTTTGTCGATACAACACTCTGATCAAAAGATATTGAATTTTTACAGGAGACCGGAGAGCAGAGGTTGGGACACTTGAACCTGGGAAATATTTTCGGACCCCGAGAAAAAGCTGCATCCTTTGACGCCAGGTGTTTAGTTGTGACAGGTGAGCGTGGAAACTTTATTTTCGGATCGCTGCTATGTCAATTCATCTCCTTTTCATCTGTCATGTCAATTCGTCTTCTTTTCGTCTGTCAACTGTTAATTCGTCCTCTGGTCGGGTAGTTATCACATCTTCTTTTTGACTATTCGCGATAGCCAATTCCGACAGGGGGCGCTGAAGATTTCAAAGATAGACGATAACTTCGGGAAAACAAATCATTTTGTCATTTGATCTCTAAGGTATAAAACGTTTAATATAAATAATTTACACGTGTGTTTTGCCAAAGTAAAAGTTGGAGTACGTTCTTCAAAGTTTATTTGTTTGTGATTTGAGTTTATACATAAGGTAATTTACTCCCAAACCCGAATAAAATAAAATTAAATGTTTGTTTTTCTACAGTATGTCTGAAAAACGGGAAGTAAAATTTACATTATCTTAATTATTTATATGGTTGCAAGATCGGCAGAGATCTTTAGTAGAGGGTGGTTCAGCTTTTGGAGCTGGCCACGTTATATTTTGCAAATTACCCCTTACGTTTTCTACTAATAACTTCATGAGACCGTTGGGGCAATTTAGCTGATGGAACGGCATTTTTCTTCAGTCTTCTTAATTTAGTTTCAGGTGTTACTACAAAGTAAATTAAGTATAAATATATTACAATATAAATAATATTTTAATCAACACTTGGAAAGTAATCGTTCTTAGTAAAATGTAAACTGCACACAGTCATGTACTTGGTTATAGGTTTGCCAATTCGCAAAATGCATTGCCAAGCTTTTCTCATATTCTCATCCAGCGGAAACTTATGTATGGAATTTTTTTGTGAATTATAATAGGATGAACATTGTGGAACACTGCAATAGTTTTTTGAAGTCGAATTCATTGTTAATTACAATATAAACCGGTCGCTACTATGTATACACAATAATGACAATTTCAAGGTTTTCCCCGAAGTGGATGCTTTTGAAATCTACCACCAGGCGTCGCCCACTTTGCGGTTCTTCGCGAATACTTTCGACAATAAGACACTATGACGTATCATCTTTCCGTCTATCACTTCTTGTAATATACAGGGTGTAGGCAAAAAATCAAAACAATTCATGTTATATAGAGGATAGTTGCGAGGTGTCGGTGAAAAGGATTTTAGTGAATAGAATGAAACGGTATAGAAAAATCAGCGGGCACTACCTAAAGCAGTAATATTAGGAATGGGGGATAAGCAACATTAGGGATGGGGATAACCAACATACTTAGGGATAGGGACTAGTAGGGATGGGCCACTGCACTTTAGCAAAAAATGGAATTTTTGAGATAGAAAAAGCATTTAATTAACATAGTGTATTGTCGATATAAAAGCATAATATTAATTACGAGTTGCATACTATAGTTTATCTACGACGAACAAGTAATTTATTTTTAAAGTTGTTAGTGTACCTACTTGCGCTCTCCGCTAATAATCTGTCATTAAAAATCCTCGGTAGCTTCAAGCGTCGTTTCTGAGAAAACGGTTCATTCTACACAAAAAGTGCTAATAAAAATCAAGTTCAAATTATCTCAGCTATATTTTTTATTTGCAACATTCTTTTTCTACGGCGTACATAATCTTGGTAAATCGATTTTTTCTGTTTTTTCACCCCCGCGAGGGGTGTTTTTACCCGGAAGCCGAGGGGTTTTTTTGGGGTCCCAAAATTGATATTCTCAGCAAAATTCAGCTTGTTCGTCTGGTTTTTATAGATAAAATCTCTGACGACTGAACTACACGGAAATTGTGTTCAGTACATTGTAATTGTTTAGTTTTGTTAAAGTTTTTACTGTTTCTATGTTAAATTATTTGATATTTTGAGTGATAGGATAAATAAAATATTGTAATTATCAAAATTAATTCAGTAAGTAGTCAAGTTTAATGTTTTAACTTGGCGGAATATAACTCAATAAAATCATATCAAAATACGACAATTTTATGTAAAATAATTAATTTCAGAAAAATTCCTTAGTAATGAATGTTCACTGTTGAACTAATTGAAAGTAAGATTGGCAGATGCATAAACTCAAGTTGCTGCTATGATGTCCAAACATTGTTTAAGCTAGGTCCCGAAATTTATCTTATTAGTTGACCATAAGTAACCTCCTTTGCCTATTAAGGCCCTGCAATTAAAGAAAACGTTAGTTTTATAAAGTCTAATCGTTTTTAGGCATTCATGTCAAAATTTAGTGCAATGCAGCCGTTAGTATATTTTTAACAACTAATTATGACTTTTTGCAACTCATTAAATATTATTTGATATATATATATATATATATATATATATATATATATATATATATAGATATATATAAAACAGCGAAGAAAACAAACGATAAGCTGGATTACTATTATGGGACTAATGCTCCTTCTTCCTCAGTTTTTCCCTTTTCAGAGATAGCTGTTCCTTAATCTTCTTCACTTAGTTTCGTCTATCTTGTCTTCTTCATTTAACATTTTCCCTCCCAAGTCCTCTGCAAAGAGTCCTTCCATCTTTTCCTAGGTTTTCCTGTATCTCTCTTTTTCTCAAGTTTTAACAACTCTAAACTTCGTTCCATATACGTCAGACGTGACCAAACCATTTC